CTGCGGACTCTGCATCCGATTCCGCTGTGTCTTCTGGGTCTTCCTGGGCTAGAGCGTCCAATATTTCGGCCGTTCTCCTGACGTCCCTTTCCAGAGCGTCGTAGTGCAAGAAACGCCTCACTTGATATCTGAGTGCGGAAAAAACGTCGTTTATACTCGCCCTGTGCCTGCCAGAGTGCTTGGCGTACTTGCAAGCGCTCTCTGCCGCATGTCCAACGAGTGTATAAACGAGGGCCTCGACGTTGGCAACGAACACAGGGTCTATGCCCTTCGGTGCGCCATGCAGTCCGGCCTTCATGAATGAATAGTCAGAAGCCATGTTGTATAAAGACAATGAAATGAGTCAAGTCAGAAACGCGGCAATGTCAGGTCTCACTCGCACATGTTAGAATTGATTGGCACAGGTGGACGTGCTGGAACTGCCATTGGTGAACAAAAGAGGGTCGGAGAGATGGCTCCTAGTCCAAGAAGTATGAGGGACTCGGTACTAGGCTAGAGGAAAGAGATAGCACGGTACACAGAAATTGAGTAGGATTACTTATTATAAGTTTCATCCATTGGTGATGCTGTACACTAATTTCTTTCACAGTCGTTTTTACAAACATATCTATACCAGGTTTCACTCATGTTATACAACCATCCCGACGACACTGAAGAGGGTGTGATAGTTTTAACTACTTTCGGACCGATCGTCGTGATGACGACCAAAAACGAAGAGTCTTACTCGCTTTTACTGTGTCCGCAATTTCTACTGCAGAATGCAACGTTGAACCTCCCTCACCAACTGCAGGTTTGATTCGATTAGCCTCAGCAACGTCTGCTGGCGCTTTCCTTCGCAATCCCTGGAATGCTTCTTCGCGCTTCCCACGATGCGCATGTAGTACCTCATTGACGCGACCAAAAATTGTTGACGCGGACCTAGCACGACGGACGGGCGGGTCCTTGCGCCCGAGTCAACGGGCGGCAGCGACGACGGCGAAGTCACCTCGTCGTTCGAGCCCAACACGCCGTCCAGCAGCAGGTCCACGTCGTTGCTCAGGTCCAAGTTGCAGATCTCGTCACTGTCCATGGGCGGACAGTTCTGCAGTATGGCTGAAAAATCATCGATTCCCCAAAAGGCAGACGGTCCTTCACTGCGCTGGTCGCTGACTTCGTCTTTCTGCTGCTGTTCGTCCGTGTGCCTAGCTCCACCCCCCAGAACTTCCCCATTGCCCTCCAATTCGTGCTTAAGTTGCTGCTGCTGCGGGGGCGGTGGTCTATCTTCATACTCCAGGCTCGCCATGGGGTCGTCGATTACTGAAAAGTTCGCATTGAAGCCATCTTCCAGTCTGATCCGATCCTCTTCGTCGAAGATAGGTAGCTTCCTCTCACGTAACCAGTCCCTGACTAAGAATTTGGTACGCATTACAGTTATCCTCCCCTTTACTTTATATTTCGTCGAGTTCTTCCTGCGCTCGACAGTCAAATACCCGCACCTACGTGCTCTCCCAGTCGATGGGCATGTTCTCATGACCTGACGACGATTGATCGAATCAATGGAATTCAGCTCGGGATACCAAGCCGGATCTTCAAGTTCTTCGATCACCGCTCCAGACTGCATAATGAGGACATCATCAATTTCGTCGAAATGGATGCTAACGATGATAGAGCTGCGATGCTGATGATAGAAACAAGATAAGCACGTGCAGAATCGGAGATTTTGTGGGAAAATGAAACCCCGCACAATGCCACAAAACATCTTGCCCAGGTGTACAGTGCAATACGGTCTGTTTCATCGTACGATCTAAACCTACCTCAGCAAGTTTTCTCTTCATTTAAAAGGAGTCAATCTCTCATGGGACGTTGAGCAAGGGCTTGTTCTAATCTTGGCTGGTCGTGCAGCGCATCCTGCAAGGTAGATCCAGTCGAGATTGCTGATAGATGTGTTAAGCAGAAATTTCCAAAGAATCTGGGACAGTTGAACTAATAAGGAAAATGGCGGGACAAATTCCTTACAGAGCCTCATCCTGCTCAGGATTCACGCTGATTTCAATCGAGTTTCCGGACTCTTGAGCTCGGCCTCATTCTGTAATTGAAAATCGATACTCAAACAGGTAACCCCAGAAGACTTCAAAGGGAGCTTCGAAGGGAATATCAGTCTGACGGGAAGAATACCACACATCACTTACAGAGCATGCGCTTGATGAAGCTGAATGATGTCGATGTTTGCCACAGAAGACATGGGAGCTAAGGAGATAGTCCAGCGTGTAACATTATGGCGACAAAAGTACCCACACATCACTATAGAGCATCCCAATCAGACTTTTCACGACAGAGCTTCCGATACATAAGCTCAGCCTTACCTCAACTTAAGTTTAGTTCTTCAAGACAGATAAGCCAGATGCTTGATGATGATCAAGCTGACATGTAACGTCTGAGCTTGGTAGTGAGTGTGGGGTTGGTTTTTTCCAGTCGTTTTGTTTATCAGCTAGACTGTCACCTCAGCTTGTATGCCTTCTGGGGTTCCTGATGCAAATACTGACACCTTACATCAGACAGGTCGATTCTGATTGATTTCCCGAGCCTGGCCTTACCTCAGCAGCTGTTCCTCACTTCAGCAACTGTTCTTCTCACTGGAAAGGGGTGGATCAAATCACAGTAGACTTGAGCTTGGCACGAGCTTGTCTCAGCTTTAGACAGACGAGAACCTGCTCAAGCGGAGAGCATTCTGCAAGACAGATCAATTGACATGCTGACGCTGATGAAACCCAATGGATGCTAATGCTTGAAACGGGAGAGCCTATAAGCGCAGGGGAGCTGAGGAGACACTGCAGTCCAGCTGATAAGCAAAGTGGCGTGGTCTTTCGCCCACTGTTGTCTATGGCCTCCCGGTTCCAGAGTTCGGCCTCACCGCAGCAGCTGATTGTATGCTGGAAGCGTCTCCTTAGCTTTAGATGACCCGATTGAGCTAGGAAAGGTCCAGAGTCGACGGCTCTGCTGAGAGCAATCAAAGTGCGGACCTTCCAAATTTCTGCACGCAACTCTCGCGCGTTGTCAGGTACGGATTTAGACGGGCACGCCCGATTGATGAACTGCAAAAAGTACAATTTGTACATGTAGATAAACCCCGTTGGGACTGGGGTTACGGAGACTCGGCCGTATTTAAAGTCAACATGTAGATGTGAAAGTATTGACCTACCCCGAATGCTCAACGAGCTATCCCTACTGATTACATCATCAAAAGTTCAGGCCTGTAAAATAGCATGCACTAGAAACCCGGATTGGGACGTAACCCTGCTGGATACTTATCCGCCTGCTTCGGTGACCCTCAACCGCCCAAGTCCCCGGGCATGTTTTCAGGGCGTCAATTCTCAACGAACTCAGACCGGGGGAGGGTTGTACCGGTAGCTCTCGACTTCCACGTAGGCAAATGGCGACAAACCTCAACCTCCTAATCCACGGTTGCTAACTAAAACATGTACGGAAAGCATGATGTGTCTCACACGTGTCGCAATCGTACTCGACACTCTTTGGCTATGAGGAAGTTGATGATGATCTGTACGAACGGCCCCCATTTCATGCCAAGTCATCACCAGGTGGATCAAGCACACAACGCGAAATCTAATCAAAAGCCTCCACCTAGCATCCTATTCAGTCACTGCATCTCGTTTACGCTAGTCTGCGCACCATAAAGCAAAACCGCAAATTCGCACGTAGAGGGAAAAGCAATCATCGCCCCGCCTCAGTGGCACCAAATGTGATCATGCATGATGCCGCAAGCCCCCCAGTGCTGTCGAGTTCAAAGCTTTTCAGAGCCGATTCTGAGAGAGTCATTTGAGAAAGGTTGACGTCACATTCACGTTTGCATGTATGGAGACTTTGATAACGGTGAAAGAGACTTCATCATTTCGAACAACAGTGAGCCCCGAGCAGCAATGCGCCTCCTTGAGCAACAAAGGCGCCACTTGTTGAAAAGCCTGCAGCACGGCGCAGTGCTCCCTTCTCAGCGACGCTCAAGCTTCTCTGCATAATTCAGAATGTCGCGCCACTACACGTCACCTCCTCGTAAAACTTCTGACGAGGCTGCACAGAACCGATGGTGAGCAACAAATTGCACTCCTGAATTGTTTTGCATCAGATTGCCCTACTCTGATGTGAATTACAACCAAGATAACACTAGATGGGAACGCTCTACTCTTACTGTAGAGTGTAGCTAAAGCAAGAGACTTTTTGCATATCTTGGCAATTAGCAGTACGTGATCATGTTGTTGTCTTGTCACAGGTGCGAGGTGCTGAGAACCCGAATTGATAGCCAAGACATCGAAATGAAATCTCTGAGGGAGGAGATGGGTGCTCTGATGAAACGAGTACAGTTCCTTGAAGAAGTTAATGATGCCAAGGATGGAGAACTCAGAGACCAGATTCGCCAACTCTTGGCCATGATGGAACCCCAAGTGGCAGGTGAATTCGGTGTTACCATTGATTATGAAAGCAGAAAACCTGGAGCTGTCCTTCTATGTGGAAGTCAATGCAAGCACTTTGATGCGGTATATTGGCAATGGTTCGCTTGCTTATGATGGAAATTGACTGAATCTGTGTTGATGAGACAGCATATTTTTATGCAGGCGTGGGTTTGTTTCAGGGAGGGACTGCTGCCCTCTTTCAGAATGGATGCGCTGCACGACCAGCCAGGTTTAGAACAAGCCCGGGTGAGTGATGTAGCTAAATGAGACCATGAGAATCACCTTTAGGATTCAATCATAGATGCGCCTGTCAAGTTGTTTCATCCGCTGTTCTTGAAAGGTACAATCGGTGTTCTACTTGAATCTAGAACGATCAAGAACCCATGATTGGAAAGACTGTTTTTCCTTACAGGTCATGACGGGACAGACGGCACCAGTGAACAGGGAATCGACGTGCAAGATTGGAATTTGATGGACATCCCTGATCACAATCTACTGCCAAGTGAGCAGTTGTTTCGTCTCTGCTATGGATCTTAAGGGTTGCATTCTTCTGTGGAATGTGATTTCCCTGCTCTGATACATAGTCGACGCTTTTGACGAAGACGGAACAGGATGCTGATCCATACGAGTTTTCCTCCACGCAGCGGAGGGCAGTCTTACAAGTCCCGGTGGCATCAACTCTCCGGATGGTGGATCTGGTGAGAACCCGAAGAGAGGCTTTCTTGCTGGAATATTGCCATTGTTGCCAAAATGTATCACTCATTGAAGTGATACAGTTTGCCCTTCGCCGACTTACGACCCCTCTTCTTCGTGCAGCGGTTTTGACTGGACTCAAGGAAACCCTTAGAAGCCAGCCTCCACAGACGTACGGGCAGGCTCTGTGGCAGGGGTTTGAAACGCCATGATCTCAAAACTTGTCTTGTCTCGTAAACGCCGAGCGATACTTCGTCGGAGTGTTATCAAAGTTGTGGTTGAATTCATCATCTCACTTGCGATCTCTGGTATTGCTGAGCAAGGGCAGGTTTCTCGATAGATGCCAAGCGAGGATTCGTCAGCGGGGTGATTGAGTTTGTGGTATACATATTCGTCCTAGTTCCGGTTCGACTAAGCCGAGCGAGGCTTTGTCGGGCTGAACATATGAGTATGTGGTTAAAAACTTCGTCCTAGGTCTGGTAAGACTGAGCCGGGTGAGGCTTCGCCAGCGGGTTGATCAAGTTTGTGGTTAAGAACTTCATCTTAGATTTAGAGTTCTGGTAGTAAAACTGAGCCGAGCGAGGCTTCGTCAGCCGAGTAAATGAGTTTGTTGTCACGGCTTTCTGGTATCCTTGAGCGAGGGGGAGATACTTCGTAAATGCCGAGCGAACTTTCGCAGGCGGGTTGTAAAAACTGATGTTAGATGCTGGTTTTTGTGGTACTGCTGAGCGCGGCAAAGATGGTGTGGTAAACGCCGAGCGACGCTTCGCCGGCGGGGTATAAACATTAGAGTTGAAATATTATTGATAAGCAGAGTGAGGAAGATGTTATAGCATAGACGCCCAGCGTAAAACAAGATTGTGAAGTTTGAACATAACAGCGCACGGATGTGGGGATTGAATCCTATGGTAAAGACGAGTGTTGTTATGTCAGAAGTTAGGGGCAGGATGAATATGGCAATCACATAAAGTGACTACATAAGGACTGATGTGCCTGATGCTCTTCATGAGAGCCTCCTTTATAAATATACACTGAGATCCGCGCAATCAGAAGTTGGACGTGATCATTACAAAAGCTACTGTAGATGAATGCATCATATGCGGTCTTATAAACAGTACAGTCTTCACAGCTTGGTCCTATCTGTGCTTCGTTTGAACGCGCTTCGATTACTTACTCGGAACGGTAGCTTTCAAGATCATGCATGTGAGAATACACATATGCATAGCTTTCTTGCGTCCATGACTTGCATAAGTATGCTGATGGTATACTTCGAAGTAGACTTTTTGTGTGCCATTTGTCCTTCTCGAGCTCCTTCGACCGGTTCATACTGCAACTCGTTCCGATCTTCCTCACCCATCAATGTCCATGGGAAGTCTGTTTCCTCGGGACACACTACCTGACAGCGTCAACATACTGATTTCGTATGTCCTGAATGTTACGCTGTATTATCACTTGGCCTTGTGCTTTTTAAGCTCCTTCTTGAGGACCTCGTTTACATTCTCGTACCCGCGAACTTGTTCTTCCAGATCCTTCTTCTCGTTTTCCAGCTTCCTTTTCTCGTCTTTCCACTTTCTCTTCAACTCCTTCTCCCGCGCCTTCAGTGCTGTCTTCAGCTCCTCCAATTGATCACGCTGCTCATTGCCCTTCTCATTCCGCGCCGCCTCCGCCGCATCAACCTGGTCCAGCTCCTCTAACCGCGCTCGCAGAATTGCTTTCTCTTCCTCAAACTTCTCCCTCTCCGCTTCGAAGCTCTTCTTGGCCCGCTCCAGCTCTTCGTACTGCGCCCGGATACTCGCCGTCGCTCGCTTTAGCCTCCTTTTCTCCGCTTCAGCGACCTTCTTGCCCCCCTCCAGCTCGTCGAACTGCGCCCGGAGACTCGCCTTCTCCCCCTCTACCTCAGCCCTCTCCGCTTCGATTCCGTTCTTGGCCCGCTCCAGCTCCTCGAACTGCGCCCGGATTCGCTCCTCCTCTGCTTCGATCTTGCCTCCGTCCGCTTCCGACTCCTGCGTAGCTCGCTCGTGCTCTTCGGACGTTTCCTCGACCGGCGCCTCGACGCGTGCCTTCGACCGTACCTTTTCGCCCCCGACCACCGTGGCCTTGGGCTTCTTCGCAGGCGCCTGCCGTACCTCCCGAACCCTCTTGCTTTTGCTCTTCTGCGCCCGCGTGCCACCCTCCTCCAACTGGGTGGCCTTTGCCAATAGTTTGTCGACTCCCCTAGCCGTCTCGATGCCCCGGAGCCACGCTGCAGCCTCGCCACACCCCAGGATCTCCCCGAGTTCTAGGGTCCACTTTGCATTCCAGGCGTGCTGGATGGTATCATCCGGGGAGACCTTCTGTTTTTCGAGGAGGCGCACCAGGAAGGGGGGTTGCTCGGACGTCGAATAACTCCGAGCGGCACCAGAAAGTCTGCCGAGTACTTCTTTTGCCGTCTCCGTGCCGTCACTCCCCTCCGGATTCGTCACGAGAGGGGCCAGACGCACGAGTTGCAGGAGAAGCCCGAGGCACAGCTCCTGTGCATGGGCGGGGAGGGTCGTAAAT